CCAACGAGATAACAAGCACCAAGTGTTATTCTCTTTGTCTTTGTACACCAACAACAGTTGATGTACCAAAGCCTTCGTTTTCTCTGCATTGCCTCATCGGCTATACCCGACATCTCGTCCCGTTCCGTCTTTGCTTCTTCATAACTTTAGTCTGCGCTCCCCTTTCTTCCGTCTCTCATTCCCATGACCCTGACAACCCGGATGATCTTCTGCCGTTGACTTCCTTCTTTCTCCGACGGCCGCCATCGCCAGACCCTCTTCTCAGGGTCCTCTCGGGCTCCGGCCTCGTCCACAACCGAAATTGCTTCCTTCCTACCTCCATCCTTCCCCGCCAACTGCTTGGAATTTCCATTCCTCCTATGCAAAGCAATCCCGATCCACTCCACGGGGCTATATGCCGCTTCCCGCTCTTCCGCGCCACCCTCCAGTATTCCCAACTTCACGCCCTCTCTGCCAAATACACCGCTCCTCTCCAACCTCTCGCACTCCTTCTCCGTTCTCCTTGCAAAATCCATTCGCTAGCGGACCCCACACTCCGTGCCCTGGTTTCGCACCAAGCTACAATCTCATGCACCCGCCGTGACATCTGGCGGTTTCCTCATACGCCAAGTTCCGCCTTGCCGACGCGTCTCTTTCAGCCCCCCTCCTCTGCATCACGGGACCCCCCCCTGTCGCTCCGCCCACTTCCATTAGCTCTTCCAACAGCCTCTTCCCGTCGGCTTCCATGCAGCCTGACACTCAACTGGCAACTCAAGTGCCCTTTCCACCCCACGTGCAGCCCGTGGCCTTCCCGTTCGCCACTGACTCTCGCTCCACCATCGCTTCCTTAACCACCTCCTCTTCTCCCGACTCCATCGTTGCGGACCTCCCTATCGCCGTCATTCCCGACCCCCGCAACATGTTTGAACCCGTCCCAATCCACAACCCAGTCATGAATGTCTTGCACGACCTCCCCGAGAAACATCCATTCCTCGCCAACAACATCTTGATTCCAGACGTCACCCCGGACGATTCTTCTCAAGCATCCAAACCCAACTTAGAACTCATTACCATTCTCCGAGAAGGAGCTATCACACCCTGTCCCCTCGCAGCACCCTCGCCTTGGCCAAAACCAGCTCCACCTGGCTCCCCCACATCACTAGACGATCCCTCTTCGCGACAACTGGCAAACCGATCTCACCCCATCATTTTCCGCGCCCAAATCTACCCAGATCCAGGATGCCCAACAGCTCTCAGCTGACATCTCCCAACCGGAATCATCTTTGGCCCCCAAAGCTAATCGTCGCATGCATTCTTGTTGGTGCCAGCTCATCCAATGCCAATGCTGGGTGAGCAGGCACCACCTACAGTTACCTGCCGGTCATGCTGGCTTTAAGGTTGTGGACCCTCATTTGCTCTGCTACTGGTGCTTCACTATGACTGGAGTTAGTCTCTGCCGGATCATTCCTCTCCTTTGCAGACTTGCAACACCTAAGCTCCACCAGCAAAAAGTGTCGCGGTGGAGTTTATGCAGGTATCAATGCTTGGCCAAGGAATGGCAAGGATCTCTTTTGGACTTGTCAGCGAGTGAAACCACCCAAGTTGCTGGTCATGGGAGTGCATTGCCGTGCTCACAGCCCTGCAAGTTCTATTCTGCAGTTTTCATTTGGAAAATTAGCATTTGACACTAGCAAAGCACAAGTGGTAGAGGCATGGAGTGAATTGTATCGACTACCATATCCATTCGAGCCCCCGACTGCTCCTAACCTTTGTGCTGCCGATGAGAGTGGATCTAAAATCTTTCTTTGCGGTGGAGGCTCCTTTGGCTGCGAGGCCGCTCTCCTTGACGTCCAAAGTCGTTCTTGGACAGCACTTCCCAACATGCCAAGCCCAAAACCTAACGCAGGCAGCTGTCGGCTTGGGCCAAGGATCTACATCGTTGGCGGTCAAATAGATTACGCCAATCACGGGGCCCTTAGGATTGACCAGACGGTACACTGTTTTGACTTGGTGGCGCAGGAATGGGTGGATTCGGGCATTCCAGCGTTCCCTGGTCGCGCATACATGCAATCTGCAGTGATCGCCAGAGACTACCATACCATTGTGGTTGCTGGCGGCCGAATGCTTTCTCAAACCCAACTGTTCATGCCGTGCCGAGAAGTGTACTCCTTGGACGTCGAGTCGGGTGTTTGGACTAGATTGGTGGATTTGCCTGAGAGTGATGATGCTGCTGAAAAGATATCATGTCATGGTTTCTTGTGGAAGCGTGCTAGCACGGAATCAACAACCTGTGTGGTAGTCCGTGGTTCGCAGACCGTACAGTTGCTTCCCAACGGCCAATGGGAGGCCCTTCCAAGCTTCCAGGAGAAGAGCGGTTCTCTTGTGGCATCCCTTGGTGATGCCCTTGTTTCCTTTTCAAGTAACGGTCATGAACTCGTGCACCTTGAAACAGGATTGCAATGCGATCTGTCGCCACAACATGACGAAAACTATGACATCGTGATGGCAGATGGTATGAAGCTGGTGGATACTAAAGGGCAGCCATTCTTTGCGAGACTAGAGTGCATCAACAGGATTGTACCGGTCTATTCAAAGAACCAAGGAAATGTGTGAGCAATGGATCCAATCAGTTTGGTGGTTTGGCCGAGTTGCGTTTATACCCCGGCGCTTCTTGCCTGAATCTTCTTGGGTTCTCTGTTCGAGTGGGTCTGTCCCTGGTTTGAAGCCTCTTCCACCTTGATCAATGCACGGAAGTATTACCTGGTGCGGCATCCAAAGATCCGTTCGTAGCAGTAGTTGCTTGAGAAGTCTATGTGTTTCTCACTCTGTAACTACTAGCGACACTTTCTATATTCACCTGCGAGTCGCAGGACAACTATAACTACTATCATTCACTTTTAAAACACTCGTAGAAATGGCTACAAGTGGCTGGCTCTTTGTGCTGCTATCCATCCTATTGTTTCAGGACCATCTCAATCTTTTGATGACCGACTGCATCTGCCGCCAGGAATGGCCTGTCTTGTTGCTTCCCATTAATGGCAAACGTGTCTACCACATTCCCATGACCCGTAATGTGCAGGGTCAAGAGTGCCCTCCGGTATCTCAAATTCTCCAACGTCATGACCTGCACTTTGCTAGTAGTATTCGTTGCTTGAGCTGGCACAACGGGCCGAAACAAAATCCCATCGACTTGCAATTCCATTCCAAACAATCCATGCAATATCATGCCCAAGTATCCGGCACTGCTCCACAATTGTCGTCGTCGTTTCCACATGTACGTTCCATCCAACTGATAAAACTCGGCAAATGTGGGTTGTTGTTGTGCATCCCCATTAGTCTCCATGGGCGCCGAGTTCATGGCCAGTCCGACGAGACTGTCGAGTTCTTGTTGAAACACATCCACTTGTTTGTGTCGTGCCGCCGCCAGCGCCCAATATCCCTGTACAAAGGGCCAAATGCGACCATTGTGATAATAACTGGCATAATCTTTGGGTTTTTCACGGTGCAAATCAAATTGCGGCCAGAGACACGGAATTCCATGCGGCGTCCGATGCACACTTTCAAACAAGCGTCGAATACGAGTCTGGTTGGATTCCAAGTTGGGTGCTAGCAAGAGCAGCGATTCTCCCAGTCCTTCCATTTTGGCATGAAGCGTGCCATTGGCTTCTTCGTAGTACGCATAATAGCCCTGATCTTCCAACCAAAGGCGGGATCGAATGGCTTTGCGCAAATGGTTGGCTTTGGTTTGCAATTGTTGTGAATTGTCTTTTGTTTTGGCAGGGTGTAATACTTGTTCCATTTGTGCCGCCAATGTGTATCCATTGTAATAGAGGACATTGGTGGAGAGTGCCTTGGTGGCTCCCACTTTGGGTCCACTGAATCGATATTCGGTGGGATAGGCACTATTGGATTCCATAAAACTGGAACATCCGCGAAAGAGCCCCGTGGAATTGTCGTACACTTCCAATTCAGCCCATGTCAGTGTGGAGCGTGTCATGTTATAGGCCCATTCTAAAAATGTGGTATTGCCAGTCGCCAAGAACAAACTCCAAGCACCCTGCGCACCGACAATGGCATCGCTCAAATAAGGCCAACCGTTAAAATGGCCACAGACATCTTGCAGCCATGTCGTTGTGCCCATGACAATACTACTGTCAAGTGTGTGTTGGTGGCCATCCTTGTCGTCGTGTGGTTGCGTACACGCTTCGAGCGTGACTTGACTGACTTGTGGATAGAGCAGTGCCAGCCCTAATTGGACGGCATACGACGTATCACGAGTCCACAATTGCGTCCATCCCGCACCGGCCATGAAATTGCCATTGGCCATGATATTCTCCGACACTTCCGCCATGGCCACAAGAAAGGCAGCGTCCCACTGTGCGACACCCGTCGAGAGTGTGACGGGATTGTTATTGTCATTATTGTCATTCATAGTTGCTGGTGGTTCTGTAGCACTACTACTGCTAGTAGTAGTAGAAGTATTTTTCTTTCGACTGGTAGTGGCATGCCCCACCAACAATACCGTGGAGAGTCCAATGCCGGCCATGGGAAGTAGAATCAACACGTAAATTCCCAAAAACTGCACCAGAGGACGTCGTTTCAGTGCGTATCCTCTAGTATTGGTAGTAGTAGTAGTGCTGTTTCCGTCTACTTCCAACACCAGAGGCTCGGCTTCTTCATCATCACTCCCGTGATCCTCTGCATTATGACTGTCATCAGAAACGCTGCTACTGTTGTTAGTGTTGTCCTTCATGGTCCACTTTAGAATTATTTGTGAAGTCGAAGAGGTGAAGGCTTTCGGTTCAAAAGATAGTGTGTCGTTGGGGTTTTGGCGCGAGATCCTAGACATTAATCAGCCTGCAGAGTGGAGAGAATTGCAAAGGGTTCCGTCCTTTGGATACCAGAGGCTCCACTTGTCTGTGCCAAAATCCAAGCCTTGTAATCATAATACTTTCTAGTATCAGGATTAAACTACTCATTAAAGTGGGGGGAATATCCCTTGGCCGCCTCATCCACCAGATGGCAGAATCAGGGTACCAATGATAGCCAGAAGTGGGAGGGACCTAATGAAGAGGACACATACCAAAGCCTTGATCCCAGTGTACATCTTCCTGATGTCTAGGACAATCATAGAAGAGTTTTACTGGGAGACTTTTGGCTGTGAGCCTCTTTGCTGGGTGTTCACCAAATTCTAACAAACCTGACTGGACCAATAGCAGGTGGCATTCCTGCTAGTGGTACCAGGCCAATCCCCCCTCATGAGATAGTAGCCCTTTGTGGAGATCCCGTCATGCTTGATGAAGTCATGAGGGGATCAAGGGCATGAGGAGAAATGAGACGTGAGTTCTCACTTTTCCTCAAGCAAAACTTGATGCCAAGAATGGAATCAAGTGTTCAGTTCATATGGGTATGGTCAGTCACTTAAGACGTCATTCAACATTCATATGAGATCTGAACGGCTCGCCCAGCTCAAACTGTTCCAAGGTAACAAGTACTTGGATCAGTCTTAAAGAGATGTTGCGCAGCGAGCGACAGTTGTTTGGTGTTGTGTGTGTGTGGCGTTTGTACTTGTGTGCAGTGTCAAGACAGATAACACACGATCGTGGACGTGGGACTTGTTCGATGAAAGCTTTTCAGCGTGGGAATCATCAGTTTTGGGGAATCGTCCGTTGTAGTAGAGAGTAGGAGAGTGTCCAAGCGTTGTCACTCCTAGCCTTCATTTCGTATCGCTCGAGGTCCCTCTCACTTCTCCCCACAAAAAGTTTTAAGGTTGATCCGTCAATCGAAGTAACTTTGTTCTGCAATCCAATTTGAAATTTGACATTGACCATGGCGCGTAAGTCTTGTGTGTTGTTTGCTCACGTCCCAAGGCGTTGCCGCGTTCCTCATTTCGTTGTCTTTTGCAATGCAGAACCACCTCCTCCTGATCGTTCCCTCGCTCAGTATTACGCTGACCTGTCCCAAGCGAAGGGGTTGAAGGACGATGACGGGTATCGCTCTGTCGTCATGCGTGGAAGGACCTTCATGACTCCGGCGTACCAGGCGCAGTTCGACTCCATGATCAACGGCAGCAAGGCCGTTGCTTACAAGAAGAAGAACGAAGAGAAGTTCAAGCGCAAGGCGATCGACGAGTACCAGCGTTTGGCCCAGCGCAATCTCAAGAAGCAGCGCTTCTCCAACGACTGTGTGGGTGCTGTCAACAACGCCCAGACTTGGTTGGACGGTGCTCTGACGAACATCGAGTCTGAGTTGAGGGCGAAC